TGTGCTGTTTTATCTTTATATAAGATATCTACATAAAACAGAGGAAGAGAAGAATGATATCAGAACAGAATTTTGCCATTTTGTTGTAACAAAGTTCTTGGGTTCACACCTATATAACTTTGAGGGAGTAAAAATAGGATGTAAATTATATGCGGAATAGAGTGTTACGAAAAATTTGTTTTCTTAGAAGGCAATATTTCTCTTTGCAAACGACTTAAATTTGAATTTGATTAGGTACTTATTGGAAGTATCAATTGAACAACTAAGCAACTGAATAAATTTATAACTTTAAATTGGTAATCGAATTGAATATAAATACCGTGTCTAAATCAATTCTCCATCTGTCTTATCAGGTTTGTAGCACTTGTTTCAAAAAATATAATATGTGTTTCGAAGTGGGGTTGAATTTCTTTTGAACTTCTCATTTAGTTTCAAAGAGGTGCCATCGGTCATCATCTGAGGAAATAACAATGGGTTGCATTGTTTGATCTAACATTTTGATCTAGATTCAAAAATGTATTATCTTCTTTACAATATGGTCAATTGGGATCTTCCTGACTTTCTAAATACTTATAGCTTACTTAGCGATCTCCTCAATTCTACATCTTTGATTAAAATAAAATGCTATTTGGTTGCTATTCTTAGAAAACCGCAAATTTGGGATCATGTATCTAAAAGAGTTGATTAGTTTTGAGTATTAATTAGAAGAGTATTGATAACACTCAGTTTTTGATTCCGGAATGGCTACTTTTTTCAAGGCGAAACTCTTTTTGCTGTTTATAGCAACGCTGATGGGACCGGGTAGGTCGGAACGCGTCCGTGGATGAAATTGCAAAGAAATGAGACTCAAGCTTTCTATCTAAGCCTTTGTGCGTTTCATGAGATGAACCAGATTTTTAATTGGCTAAGCAGTGACCTGCGTGTGAATAGGTACTTCTAGCACAGCACCAGCAGCGCTGGTGCTGTTTATACTAAGGATAGAATTAACTGCTAAAGACAAATGATATGTATAATAACCTGGTAAAAAGCTCAGTTGATTTTCAGACCAGGAACGAATAACCTAAATTACAGGAAAATGCAGGAACCATTTATCATGAAAACTGCAACAAGGCATAGGAACAAATGCCAGACCATTTAATCAATCGTGATGTCAAGACAAGATAAGCTACAAAGCAATAAGATAGGACAACACGATCTTTATTTTATGTGACCACCAAAGGATGAACACTTCCCTAAAGCTCATAAATAACTTGACCTACTCACCTCAATTAGGTGAAGTGAAGTGAAAGTACAAGCGACTAAAATAGAGACTACGCATTTTCTCGCCTAAGGATACGTTTCCTGAAGACAAAGATAACGCGGGCAGTGACGTCACAATTAAACTAAGATCAATCACCTGATAAGGCGGTAAACACTATAAAGCACATTACCAATAAAAACAATCAATATATCAAAATATTCCTGTCCACTTAACTTAATTAATAAACCTAATTAGCAAAAATCGCTCCATCAGTATCAAATCGATTGATATAGCCATGCTATAATAGGGAGGTACGTTAAAAAAACAAATATTTTTTTTCCGTGAAAACTTTATTTTATTATGTACAGACAGGACCGGGCTACTAGACACATAGGCTTCAGTGGGACCAGTTGACTGATACCAATGTTACCCATGTCACTGCATGTCGAGCTGCATGTTAGTTAAATTCGTGCATCTTCGGCGGCTCGGCTTCAGCATCTCCGCTATAATCGACTTTGGCAGCACCGCCTCGATTCGGACCGGGTACAACCAACTTAATTCGTCTTATTGCTCCCTATTTATCCGGTAGGTTGGTCCGGTCTGTATAATATAGATACAAACTTAGATTTATATTCTACTCATTTTTCATCTCAAAACAGAAAGCAATGGTCAAAGTTGATGAAGAGGGCTCTTGATCCCTTGAATTTTATTCGGCGGCACTCTAGTTTGAATGAAGCAGAATCGGAAAATTGGCAACTCATCATGAAATTTAACAAATTTCACTTATTTATCGGGATTCACTCCAAAACTTGATTGATATTCTGTCCTCCAGTAACTTCTTAATCTAGTCTTTCTAGCCGGAAAAAATTCGACATTTTTGATACACCTCTTCATTCCTCAAAATTTCATTCGTCGTTAGGGATAATTAGCCCCCGTGATTACTAATTGAAGTTTCCATCAACTCTCAATCCATGTCTTGGGAAAAATATAACTTTTATATTAAAGCTGTGGAGTTTTCACTTAAAATGCAAATTTCTAATAATTAAAGTCAAGAGAGGAAAAAAGCAAATCCAGGTTAAGCGAATGCGAAAAATCTTACTCGCCCTTCAAGATCTAAAATTACGAAACGAAAAACGATTTGAAAATTCAAATATACATTTTTTGCTATTTTTTCTATTGCAAAATAGTTTAGGAACTGAAATTTCATAGAATTTCTAAACGAATTTTGAAAGAATAACATTTTAATTAAAAGTGTTTTAATTTTAAATTAAATTTACCTACGTGTTTTCAGTTAATGAAATAATTAATATTTTATATTATTTAAAGCAATGTAGGTACGAAATTCATTTAAAGTTAGTTACCACTGCATATATGTATTTCAGTTGTCAAGCTGAAAGGATGTACTAAATTGTTTTTCTACATTTTGCGCCAGTCACATTGAACTCTTTCAGAACATTAGAATTAATTGCGCTTTTGAATTGCTTTTTCCTGTGAATTTTATAAATTTTGTAACATGGTAAATGTTACTGTTTTTCTTTTTCACATATAAATTTTATAAGCTAAATTATTTCCTCTAATGTTGACAATCTGGTGACTGGTATTGAAAAAAAAAATAAGATTTCTGTCGCCAATTATAATAGCAATTATTATTAAACCAGAGAGCACGATTTTCGTCTAAATTTGAAGTACCAGTTTAGTACCAACACTTTCCGTTTGCTATTTTTGGGGGAAGCTCTGCCTGTTCATTTTTGTCCTTTTCTTAGTTTTTAAATTGTATCGTCCGAGCTGAAAGGTCGATCCTGGGCTGAAAGTCGCCATCTTCCTGAGACAACCGTGCTCGCGGAAAATAAAGTACCTTATCGGCCATCAGGCGTAAGGCAATAATCCGCTAATTACCGAAAAATTTATTCCTTATCGAAAGTTTTGTGATTATATAAAATGAGTTTGAATTTCGAACCCCCTCGTGGTAAGTCCTTTTTAATTTTTTTTATAAGTGATGGTTGTTCATGGAATGCCTCTATTACTTAGGGTTTTACTGGGGAGCCGTTTTTTTCCGAGGAGCCGTTTCTCTTAAGAAATCCATTTTTAACAAGCCCTAAAAATCACCGTTTTCGTGCAGTTTGGGCATAGAATTTTTGAAGTGATTTCCTGGAGGAATCAAGTCCCTCACCTTTCGATACCTGTACCCCCACATTTGACCAAGAAAACTGAACTTCTAGCCTTGATTCCAGGCTAGAATCTACAACTTCCATGTGTAACTTCCCTCGTCCAGTGACCAAAAATGGATGGCTACCGACTACCGTACTCTACCTTTTCGTTGGAATTGAGGTTTTTATAAAGTTTCATTAATAACTTTTAATATCTTTTTTTTCATGAAATCTGTTCTATAGTCAATTAACAAAATTAATTGATTTTTTTTCTGATATGACTTACATACACATCTCTCATTCTTGACACCGAGGTGATGGTGGAATAATTAACTTTCGATTAATCGAATTTATTACAGATTTGTCTTTGCTCGACTTTTATCATTTAACATCTGACCATTTAACCCAACTTTTGATTTCATACAGGTGCAATTTGATTTTATTGATTTTATTTTCTGGCAGCAGCTGACCATAATTATCCATATAATATTATAATTTTCAATCATTCATTATTTTTGTTTTAAATTAGTTTTCTGGAAACTTAAATCTATTATATTTTCATTTCATGATAATGATATGGCCGGCGACTGTTAATGAATTTTTATGGCAACTATATTGAGGTACATTGTAATATTATTTTTATTATTTTTTTTAATTTGATAAAACTGATTGAGAGATAATCTCTATTTATTGGTTTTATTTAAAGTGTTTTGCCAGTAGTTGATTTTATACTTTGAAATTATTCCATACTTGATCTTTGAGCTCACTGTGAAATATACACTAATTTAATTTGAAACTTACCTAATTGTTTTATTGGTTTACCTGTGTCAAAATTTGGTTTAGTTATATGCCTTATTTATTTCCTTTTCAGAATTATCAATTGCCGTTTGCTGATAATTTTTTTTTAGGTGTGTTTCTGAATTTTCACCCTTACATATTTTATGTAATTTAATTATTATTTTTTTTAAATTCAGTGGTGCCCTTGCCATTCTGTACTTATTAAACTATCAATCCACCCCTAATAATTATTCACTGAACAAACTGAGCATATTATGGGCCTCTTGTTAATTCATTAACAAAAGGGGTTACAATTTAATGAGATTTAATTCTACTTACATATGATCGTTCTCATATTAGAAACCATTACCTTAGGAACAGAACACAAATAGAATCTCATTACCTGCCAACTTCCTGAATGGCAATTTAGGTTGCTCAATTCTCAAGTCTTCAATAAATCTCGAATATAATTATAAGTCGTTCGAAGGACCCAAAAGCTCAACGCCGGATAAAGTTTTAACTTTAATTGGAGAAAGGAGACTACACAGATCTCAATTTAATCTTTGATCAAACATAAATTTTCTACATTTCAAACTATATACATATACCTAGTATCTCTTATTACTGGTAATTCCTTCTTGTCGTTTGGCAAAACGTAATTATCCGGGTTAGAAACTATTAGTCATTTTATAATAGCGTTGACATATTGTGCCAAAGTGATTACAAACTTGAACAGTTAGTAATAATTGTTGTTTGTCACTTTTGGATACTTCAACAAAAATTTGAAAAAAAAAAGATGTTATTTTGATACACAATTCGAGTTTCTTCCTTTGCAGGCTTTTGAAGTTCTCGAGGACCTCCTAGTGAAGAATAAAATATGCATCGCTGTCAAAGAAAAACTGGTTAAAGATTCAGGCGTTGGAAACATATCTGTCTACGATAATATTGTGCAAAAACTTCAAACAAAACCTAGAGCTAAAGGTAAGATTTTGTGTTCTACCGTTGTCAAGACTAACATTTACAAGTGAAAATATTAACATTTTATAATTTTTTAAAAACAATTCAATATGCTTTAAAATCACTTGCTGCATTACTAGGCTCAAATTATTCGATTAACGTTAGCTTGGGAAATATAAATGCTTTCCAAAAACGGACGCTACAAATTGTGAATTATCGAGATGCTGATGCTGATGCATTCGCTTGACCTGAAATTTTGTTTATAGACTTGTTAATTTATGTTTGGTAATACATTTTCACTTTTACATCACAAATAGGTGTATGTTTTTCAAAATTGTAATAAAATTCTATTTAGTAAAATGAGGTGTTTAGATATTGTTAACACATGAGCCTACTTAGGAAAATAATACACTGTACTCGAATTCAATAATGAATTTATTACAAGTCGAAAAAACACAGGACGAAATTAACCTGGTTAACTATGATGGGACAAGCAAGAAACGGATATAAATTGCGATGCGAGCCGCATCAAAGACAGACTTGAACCAGCGCCACTACCTCTAATCAGGAAAGCTCCCCTGGACTCAAGTCACCCCAGTGTCTGTACTCCCAGTTGGGAAAGCCACTCTGGGTATTTTCAGCCCTATCGTTGTTCAGCACCGGTACCTCTAGTTGGGAAAGCTCCTGTGGACAGGACATGTGGGTCACTAGCTACAGCTGTGTAGCGGATTAACCTACTGTTCCCCAAACAGCGTTGACATGTGTACCCCTATAAAGATCCTAGCGTTAATATGGTAACGCATCCTATAGGGTAAGGATATAATATGTTAGGGACGGGACATATTGGGCAAATATATATCTATCTACTTTTTATACTACCTGAGCGAGTTTCTCTGGATCGACCCCAAAGCTACAACTCCCATGTCACCCCTGTGAAACAGGCGGTTGTGTTTTCAGCTTGTGATATCCATGTTATAAATTTTTATGCTACGGCCAAAATAATTATGACATTTGTCTGTTTATTCTTGATTCCACAAGCAAATCTTGTAAATCCAATTCTTTTGTATGTATAATTCAAAGAAAACACGAACCACAAACAAAAAAATATTTAATTCTTGCTGATACAGATAGTCCTAGAAAAATTTGCTTGGCGTCGAGAATTGTAATGTTAAAGGGAAAAACGTAAAAGTGTGATTATAATGTTGTTGAAATAGTATGTTCAAAGCCAGCCAACATCCCTTTTGAATATACCGGGTCTTTTTCAAAACCCGCTTACCCCTATAACATATTTCTTCAAAAAAACAAATGAAATTTAGTGTGTTTATTTATGACCCGGATGTACATAGTTTAACGTACCTATTCAATTATTTATTATCCCTTCCGGTTTGACCGGAAGTGACCCTAACTTTCTTATTTTAATTGAGACGCCAGGTATATTTTCCCTTATTTCAATAGAAAACTACATTACGAGAACAATGACACCTCATAGGTCACTTTTTGACATTTACTCTCCAAATTATTTAAATTTTTAATTTTTAATCTAGAGCGCCATGAATTTGGTAAAATGCTTAATTTTGCTCCAAGGAACCTAGGCAAAATTGTTTTGATCTTATTTTGTATTTTATACTCGATTTTATATCCTCTACAGACTCATTTAAAAATAGCAAAAGCGCATTTTTGAGAATATATCAATTTTTGCAATGGAAAGGATATGGCCCATTAGCATATTCCGAAAGAGCATGTTCTTACGAACAATTTAGTATCACACAATCGCTAGCTTATTCAAATAGTGAACTAAAATTTTCCAAAAATATTTAGAATGATAAAGTTAGTGAGGATTTCGCGGACCAGGTTTATTGATGAAGTGTTTTCATTCGGGCTTAATGGCCGTCGTAAGTTGGAATTTCTTCCTTAACGTTTCGCTAGCACGCGTGGCTAGCATCTTCACAGGTGCTTCCATGTTCGATTCTGGTAGCATACTGACGCGTTCTCGACCGCAAATTGTATTTATGTGTGAGTGGTTGTGGTGGGGGACGAGCGTGGCTTCGCAGCACGTGGCTAATCTGAACTTCTCTGTACTCAATATGATCTTTCTTGCGTTTTTGAGGATCAGGTTCCAAGTTTGGTTAAGTTTTATTATTTCTTCTTTCCTATTGAAGTTCTCCGTATGTTTGTGGATTTCTATAGCTTCACGTACAAGACGATTGTGGTATCCGGAAGTCGGTGCAAGAAGCTTGACCTCACCAAATAGTATTTCGTGATTCCCTTCACTGAGTGCATGTTCCGCTACTGCCGATTTTTCCGATTTTCCTAGTCTGCAGTTTCTTTTATTCTCGTTGATCCTGGTTCCTATGGATCTTTTTGTTATTCCTATATATACCTCATCACATGTGCATGGTATACGATGGACACCAGCGCTTGACAGTGGGTTCCTCTTATACTTGGCTGATCTGATTGATTGCTGTATTTTCCTTGTTGGCTTGAAGATCGTTTTCATTTTGTGTTGATTCAAGACTCTCCCTATCCTGTCTGTCACCTGAGGAATGAAAGGCAGATATGCATTAGCCACCACTGGTTTTTCATCCACGTTCTGTCGTGTGTCCGTTTTGGGTCACAAGGCCCTGTCGATTTTAGATGCATGCTATCCATTTGATAGAAAGACCGACTTGAGGTGATCCATTCCTTGCTCGAGATATTGTGGCTCGCAGATGTTCCGAGCACGTTCTGTTAACGTTGTTTCAATTCCAAGTTTTTGCCTTGGATGGTAGTCTGAGAGTGCATGCAGGTACCTGTCTGTGTGTGTATGTTTTCGGTACACTGTGTGGTTTAGTTTTCCTTCAGATTTCTTTATGAGTACATCTAAGAAGGCGATTTCTTGGTTTTTCCTCTTTTCAATAGTAAATTGTATGCTAGGATGTTGCGCGTTCAGGTGACCTAGGATCTGGTTAAGCTTCTTTTCCCCGTGACTCCAAACCACAAAGGTATCATCTACATATCGAGGCCATACCGTTGGTTTGTGGTCAAAAGATTCGCTAGCTTTTCTCTAGAAATCCTCCCTAGAGAAGTTGAGTATGACCGGGCTGAGCGGACTTTCCATAGCTATACCGTCCGTTTGCTCGAAGAAATCGTCATTCCACAGGAAGTAACTACCAGTGAGACATGTCCGGAAAAGCTCAATTATGTCATTGGGGGAGGTACTTGATATCAAGTCAAGAGATTCAGTCAATGGCACTTTTGTGAATGATGACACGACATCAAAGCTGACCAGGATATCCTTCGATTGGAGAATAATATCCCTAATGGTCTGGACGAAGTGAGTGGAGTTCTTGACGTAAGAGCTAGTTTTTCCTACATGCGGTTGAAGAAGCGATGCAAGATGTTTCGCTAGGTTGAACGTTGGTGCTCCAGGTGTACTCACTATGGGTCTTAGCGGGACTTCAGGTTTGTGAATTTTGGGTAGGCCGTAGAGTCGTGGTGGAACCGCTTCCGTTTTATTGATGCCTTTCTCAACCGTATCTGTTAGGGTAGATGACCAAATCAGTTTGTTGGTGTTCCAAAGTATGGCTTGAGTGGGATCCTTCTTCAGCTTTCGGTAGGTAGATGGTTCAAGGAGCTCTCGAATTTTCCGGTCGTAGTCTTCAGTTTTTAACAGGACAGTTGCGTTGCCCCTATCCGCAGATAGGATGATCATATCTTCCGCTGAATTCAGGTTCTTAATCGCCATTAGTTCTTTCTCAGAGAGGTTAATGGTGGTCGAGCCTTTCGTAGAATGTTAGCCGTCTCAATACGGATTTCTTCTGCTTCCACATCAGGTAGTACTCTGATGGCTGCTTCAGTGCTGGCTATAATCTCCTCCGTTGACAGGTGTTGTGGGGTGATTGCGAACTTACCGATTTTTGCCAAGACGACTGGTTCCTCTTCAGTAAGGACTCGATCCGTGAGATTGATGACCGTACAGGTAAAGGATTGGAACAAAATTGACTCCAGCTCATACTCAAGCATGAATAATGAGCTAAATCGGAGTGAAAAAGCCCAGATTCAAAAATACGAGAAGTTCTGTGGGAACAAATCCGAAATTCCCCAGCGCCTGACGAATCCAGACTGGTCATCGATCTTACGGATCGGGTCCTTACTGAACAGAAAACAGCCGTCTTGGCAAAAGGCGGTAATTTCGCAATCACTCCATAACACCTGCCAACGGAGGAGATTAAAGCCAGCACTGAAGCAGCCATCAGAGCACTACCTGATGTGGAAACTGAAGAAATGCGTATTGAGACGGCTAACATTCTATACGAAAGGCTCGACAACCAACCAACAACCTCTCTAAGAAATAACTAATGGCAATTAAGAACCTGAATTCAGCGGAAGATATGATCATCCTACTTGCGGATAAGGGCAACGCAAATGTCCTGTTAAGAACTAAAGACTACAGCCGGAAAATTCAGGAACTCCTTGATCCTTCTACCTACCGAAAACTAGAGAAGGATCCCACGCAAGCCATAATCCAGAACACCAACAAACTGATTAGGTCATCTACCCTAACAGGAGGAAAGCTAAAACACTAAAACTTAACGAAATTTGGAACCCGATCCTCAAAAACGCAAGAAAGATCCCATTGAGTACAGAGAAAGTTCCGATTAGCCACTTGCTGCGAAGCCCCGCCCCTCCCCCACCACAACCACTCACACATAAATACAACTTGCGGTCGAGAACGCGTCAGTCTGCTACCAGAATCAGGCATGGAACCACCTCTAAAGATGCTAGCCACGCGTGAATAAATATCAATATTTAGAATGTTTGGAAAATTCTTAATATGAGTTGTGGACTAGCGGTTGTGTGGTACTAAATTGTTCGTTAGAAAATGCTCTTTCGGAATATGCTAATGAGCCATAAGTATCCTTTCAGTTTCAAAAATTGATATAATCTCAAAAATACGCTTCTGCTATTTTTAAATGAGTCTGTAGAGGATATAAAATAAAAAATAAGATCAAAACAATTTTTCCCAGGTTCCTTGGAGCAAAATTAAGCATTTTAACAAATTCATGGCGCTCTAGATTAAAAATAAAAAATTTAAATAATTTGGAGATGAAATGTCAAAAAGCGATAAATGACTTGTCATTGTACTCGTAATGTAGTTTTCTATTGAATTGAGGGAAAATATACCTGGCTCATTTAAAATAAGGAAGTTAGGGTCACTTGTGGCCAAACCGGAAGGGATAATAAATAATTGAATACATCAAATAATAT